AAAATGCAGATCCAAATTCTTTGGATCCAGTGGCATTGTAAGCATCTCAGTGCTGGCAGGGGTCTCTATGTAGCTTCTCCAGCCTCAGAGGTTTGGTTGCATCAGGGTAAATCCATGTTTATTCTTTACTTCTTTGAAACGTAAAACTGTTTGAAACGGGTAGAAGTTACATAAATTCAATTTAGTTCACCTCATGAAAGAGCTGTCCTATACAGTTCAAACTGGGACGAACTGATTTATGAGGTGAATCCCATGCTGTTGACTGGATTCAAGTAGAGTGTTACAGAACAATTTACATCTGTTGCATTTCTCCCATTTGACATACTCTTAAGATTGTGTGCCAGAATTGTATGATTGCTTTGAGCCCTGGACTGGATGATTCCCAAAGATAGCTGATTCAGACTTGGAATATTGTGGTATTTTGAAGCTAAATGCACCTAGTGTATCTGGTTGTGTATTTTTTTAAATTTATTTTTTAATCGTTTTATTAGGGGCTTATACAACTCTTATCACAATCCATACATACATCAATTGTGTAAAGCATATTTGTGCATTCATTGCCCTCATCATTTTCAAAACATTTGCTCTCAGCTTAAGCCCCTGGCATCAGGTCTTCTTTTTTTCCCCTCCCTCCCCGGTCCCCCTTCCCTCGTGAGCCCTTAATAATTTATAAATTATTATTTTGTCATATCTTGGTTGAGTGTATTTTGAACTGCTTTTCAGTTGAAAACTTGTTCAAAGTTTACTGCTAGTTAAAGCTGAGCTAGGGAGGTGGGAAGGGGCTGGGAATCATGTAACCAGCACTCACCTGGGAACAGATTCTTAAAGCAGGTTCGGTTCCAGTCATTTTCTGATGTAGAGCCATTCAGAGCTGGCAGTAGAGTCAGGATGATACATTTCCACTTCTATTCCCCCTTAAAGAATGAGCCTCTGTTTATCAACAAAGCATGTGAAAACAGATATTAAAGTCTTTAGTTCCCTTAATCAATCAGGTCGGGTTTTGTGTCACCCTTCTGTTTCCTCTTTTTAGTGTTGTCTTCCAATTTAAGAGTTCCAAGAAGTCAAATAATGGTACAGATGTTAATGCTGGTCAGATCCCTCAGCTGTTATACAGGTAATTCAGCCTACTTAAATAATAATAATTGCTAATTACTGTGGCAGTTACATAATCTCTTGTAAAGGGGTGGAGTCTAGTCTGTCAATCAGATCACAGCTTGATGACCTTTTTTGGAGGGTGCGAAGGAGATAAATAGCTGACAGCAGCCAGATACACTTACTCCCTGTGAGACATTACTGACAACAAGCCTCCTGGAGCTACACTGATGCAGCCAGAGCCCTGGAGCTGGTGGAGCCACGTGGAGACCCTTGCCAGACCCTTGCCAATGCTTCCACTGTCACTGGATCCAGAAGACTTTCCACCCACTGGCCTGTGATCTTCCTGCATTCTGCATCATTGCATGTGTTTCATGAGTCTGAAGAGGACTTTATACATTGGTAGTGGACATGTGGACTTGATGTGGACTGGGCTGGAATGTTTTCTCAATATTCAGTTGCTCTTGTATATAAAGCTCTGTCTTATACACATATGAGTGTCTATGAATTTGTTTTTCTAGTCAACCCAGAATAACACAATTACAGTGACTTATTCTTTTGTTGCCAGTACTTGTCTACCAATGTGTCATACTGTGGTGGCTTGTGTGATGCTGAAAACCTTGTCGCTGGTATTTCAAACACCAACAGGCTCACTCAGTATGAACAGGTTTCAGCAGAACTTCTAGACTAAGAACAGACTACGAAGAAGGAACAGGCTGTCCACTTCAGAGGAATTAGCAACTGAAAACCCTATGGATAGCATTGAAACATTGTCAGTTACTGAAAACTTCATGAGCATAAACAGAACATTGTTAGAAAGAGTGCCATCAGATAAGCCCCACAGATCGGAAGACTCTCAAAATATGACTGAGGAAGAGTCCCCTTCTCAAACTAGAGTCCACCATAATGAAATGGATGGAGTAAAGTCTGTGGGAGTAGAGCCTTCAGGACCTTCATTTGCTGATGGGGAACGACTCAAAATGAGAAGAGACAACTGCAAACATCAATTAGTAACAGGAACTTGGAATATATGAAGTATGGATGTATGAAAATTGGAAGCCATCAAAATGAACAGGAACACATAAAGATTAAGATCGTAGATGTTAGCTGAAATGGACTGGTATTGACAATTTTGAAAATTGGCCATCAGAAAATAATGATTTACTGTGCCAAGAATGACAGTCAAGAGGAATGGTGTTGGAGTCATTGTCAAAAAGAACATTTCAAGATCTGTCTTGAAGTATATTGCTATCTGTGATAGGACCGTGTCTATCCGCATACAAGGAAATCCAGTCAATACAACTTACTCCAATCTATGTATGTGGTAGTTACATAATCTGGTGTCAGTTTGAGGATTGGGTGGGAAAGGGTGGAGTCTAGCCTACCAATCGAGATATAACCAATGAATCCTCTGTGTTGGCCTGACTTTCTTCTGAGAATTTTGGGAAATCTGGCTTTTTCTTCCTTGGAGGCAGGAGACACACTCTCTCTCTCTGCTCGACCCTGACCAGGCTCACTCCCTGGGAGACATTTCAGCTGACTAAACACATGGAACTACACTAGTGCCTAGAGCTGGAGAAGCCACATGGATTTACCCTGATGCAACCAGACCTCTGAGGCTGGAGAAGCTACATAGAGACCCCTGCCAGCACTGAGATGCTTACAATGCCACTGGATCCAAAGAATTTCTACCCACTGCCCTGTGATTGTCCTGCATTCGGCATCATTGCATATATTTTGTGAGTCTGAAGAGAACTTTATAGATTGGTGTTGGACATATAGGCTAATATCAGACTTTTGATCTTGAACTGGACTGGGTTGGGATGCTTTCTTAATGTACAAAAATTACCCTTTATATAAAACACTCTCTTATACACATATGAATTTCTTTGGATTTGTTTCTCTAGTGTACCCTGACTAACACAATATAGCAATCACAAGGCTTGAGGATGAAGAAATTATAGAATTCCACCAACATCTTCAGTCTGGAAGAGATCCATATTTAAACTCATTCTAAAGAAAGGTGGCCCAACAGAATACCCAAATTGTGGAACAGTATCACTGATATCACATGCAAGTAAAAGTTTGGTGAAGATCATCCACCAACAGTTGTAGCAGTACGTTGACACAGAACTGCCAGAAGCTCAGGCCAGATTCAGTAGATGGAATGGATCAAGGGATATTTTTCTGATATCCAATGGACTTTGGCCGAAAGTAGAGAATAACAGAAAGATGTTTACTTGTGTTTCATGAGTATGCAAAGACATTCTACTATGTGGATCATACCAAACTATGGATAGCTTTGAGAAGAATGATAATTCCAGACCACTTAATTGTGCTCATGTGGAACCTATAGATGGATCAAGAGGCAGTTGTGCAAAAAGAAAAGGGACATACACTGATTTGATTTAAAATCAGGAAAGCTGTGCATCAGGGCTGTGTCCTCCCTCTATAGTTACTCAATCTGTATGCCGAGCAAATCAGAGAAGCTGAGTTATATGAAGAAAGTTGCAGCATCAGGAATGGAGAAAGGCTTATTAACTTGCGATATACAGATGACACAACCTTGCTTGCTGAAAGTGAAGAGGACTTGAAGCATTTGCTGATGAAGTTCAAGGATTGTAGCCTTCATTATAGATTACAATTTAATATAAGAAAAAAAATCCTCATAACTGGACCAATAAGTAACATCATGATAAATGGAGGAAAGATAAAAATTGTCAGGTATTTCATGTTGCTTGTATCCACGAGCAATGCTCATGCAAGCAGCAGTCAAGAGATCAAATGATTCATTGCATTAGTTCAGCTGCTGCACAAGACCTTGAAGACTAAGGTATATCTGTCCCAAGCCATGGTGTTTTCCATTGTCACGTATGCCTGTACAAGTTGGACTTTGAACAAATGTGCTTGACAGAGTGGATGAATGTATGGATTGTGATGAGTTGTATGAGCCCCCAAATAAAATGATTTTTTTAAAAAAGTTGGACATTGAATACAGAAGACTGAAGAAGATTGATGAATTTGAACTATGGTGTTGGCAAAGAATATTGAAAGCACTGTGGACTGCCAAGAGAGCAAACAGATCTGTCTTGGATTAAGTGCAGCCAGAGGGTTCCTTAGACACAAAGATGGTGAGACTTCGTCTCATGTACTTTGGACATGTTGTCAGAAGAGACCGGTCCCTAGAGAAGGACATCATGCTTGTATAAGTAGAGAGGCAACAAAAAGAGGAAACCTTTGACAAGATGAATGGACAGGCTGCAACAGTGGGCTTAAGCATAGGAACAATTGTGAGGTTGTCACAGGACTGATGATCTTTTGTTCTGTTGTACATAGGCGTTAAGCCAACTTGACAACACCTAACCACCACAACATTCATTTGCTGTGGCCTTGTAGGGTAATTATAAATTAAGTGGTATAATAAGGAATAAATTATATTAAGCATTCCTCAAATGAAAGTGTTACTGGGAGGTATGCAGTTAAATTGAGCAAGAACATTTAGTTAACATTTTGTATATTTTTCAACATTACCTGCATCAAGCTTTATGTAAAACATTGCATTATTATTCAGTTTCTCTCTATTGTGCTAATATTTTGCTATCATTAATAGCATAATACTCATATTTCAAATATCAATGTTAAAATACTCTGAACCAATACAATTTCTTTATGTTAAATGAAATTGTGAAGAGTCTTTAACAGTAGTCTAATTAAGTGTTGTAGTCTTTTTTTCTTAAGTGCTGTAGTCTTATACTCTTGTTCAGTGTGTGATTAAATTAATTGAAAGACACTTCACTGTTAATAAATTACCTTTAACTAAAATACAACAAATTAATTTGCCTATGTCAAAAGAATATTTTTAACATTTCATATTAAATCTCATTTGAATTTTTTAACCCACTGAACACATGACTTTGTATGTGGGTATCTATCAGTACCATGGTTTCAGAGTAAAGAGCCACACGGACATAAAGTCCTGTTTCTAAATCGTTACTCCAACTTCAAGAAGAGCAGTGACTCATAGAACCAGGATTCTCCACTGGGTGTGGATGGCTGCTGTGAGCCCGGCCCCATTCTATGGCCCTTCACAATTTAGGAATCACTAACAAGCCAGCAAAAACCACTTTTTTTTCCCCAAGAAGAGAGTTTTGTTTCCTTATATTTTGCAGTGTTATTATAGTTAATATTTGCAGTACACAACTTGTAGGCTGATCTGTTTCCCAACATGCTGACTAACTTTTTAGTAGTAAAATCTTCCCTTTTAAAATTATTTTGCATGTCATAGCTGGTAAAAGAAAATGGGTCTACAGTACCCACTCCTACACGATGGGTGTGATTTAATTGGTGACGTGCTCACATGCGAAAAAGTTTGGCGAGTATTGGAAGATGTTTCTAACAAGCCCCATAGTGGCATGTTACTTAGCACAAAAATTCAAATGTGGCATCATTTAGCTATTCCACTGTTTTGAAAAATGTATATCATTAAAAGAAAAAAATCATATGCCTTTCAAACATGAATTTGTTGTGTGTATCTACTTCCCGCAGGCTTCCAACCAGTGATGGCAGCACCTCAAAAGGCAAACAGCAGACCAGTGAACCAGTACACATTTTAAAGAGATCCTTTGCAAGAACGGTCTCAGTGGTAAGCCATACTTTTTAAAATTTTGGCTTTTTTATCCCATGCTGTTTTCACTGTTATGTTCCACATTTTACAACTCTCCTTAAGAGTTCATATCTTAGCATAGCTATGTGAAATCAGGTTGCAATTTATATTGACAGTTTAAATCCCAGACCCCAGACAGACTACACCTCTTAAATACGGGAAGAGAGAGTTGTTGACTGTAATGTTAGCATGCCAGCAGAGTGGGCCTTGCCTTTTCTAAAATAACGAGTGAGTTTGCTAGTAAGTCACACATGGATCAACATGCTCTGGAAATAAGAACCTTAAGGAAAAGTTCAGGTGGTACTAACCCCAAAAGTGATGCTTTACTTTATAATAGACAAGTCACATGTGTTTATATAACCAGTGAGGTCCTTGAACAGTTTCTCTCTTCTCTTTCTACATTAAGATACACGTTACTATTGGGGTTACTAGTGTAGAATGGAAAGCTAACAGGATATAATTGAAAGAGCATGGGGTGGTGTACCGGAAAGTCTGAGTTTACTTCTCTTTTTTATTAGTTGGGTCTTCTTACTAAATAAGCTGCATCATAGCCGCTTTACAAATCCCTTCGGCCCTCAAGGAGAGAGATTGAGCCCATGACTGTAGCAGTGGACTCCAGCATAGGAATGATGGTCCAGAGAGTGCGGGGCCAGCTAGTGTCTGTGGAACAACACCGACTCAGTGGCACCTACAACAGATGCTCTTGTTGCTGCTGTTAGTTTACGCCGAGTAGATTCCCATTTAGGGCAACCCCCAGTGTGTAGACTAGAACTGCTCCATTGGGTTTTTGAAAACACAGTGCCAGCCTTGTCTTTCAATGGACCTCTGGAAGTACAAAAATATTTTTAAAATCATAGAGCCCTATAAGAATATGATCTATTATCATTGTTGTTAGCCTCGTATTTTGATAAATTTTATGAGGAGGTACCAAAAAATACCCCAGAACAGACAAAAGCTCTACTGGGCAGAGCTTTCGTTGTGCACATTTTCTCCACCTGGTGAACATCGAGCAATGCGCCCTGAGTTAGTGCACCTAGTGCATCACCTGCAAAGTGAATTATTTTTCATGAAAGCAGTTTCACTTAAACCTCGTTGTTTGTGATGGCCAATTTAAGAGAACAGCATGCCGCAGTGAAATTTTGTTTCCTGCTCAGGAAAGGTGCCGCAGAAACTGTTGTGATGTTGAACACAGCGTAATGGGACAGTGCTAAAGGAAAAATTCAAGTGTCTATGAGTGGTTTTCTCGTTTCAAAAAAGGTGAAATGTCAATTGATGACAAACCTCATTCTGGACTTCTGTCAACTTCCCAAAGAGACAAAAGTGTCGACTTGTAGTTCATTTGGAGTTTGTTCTACCAGGTCAGGCTGTTAATAAAGCTCTCTATTTAGAGGCTCTGAAAAGATTATGTAAAAGTGTGGGGCAAAAAAGTCCTGATTTGTGGCAGACAGTGGATTGGTTTTGCCACAATGACAATGCATCTGCTCACCCAGCCATCTCAGTGTGCCAGTTTTGAGTAAAAACAGCATGCCTTTCTTGCCCTACTGGCCTGACTCACCTGACCTCACCACATGCAACTTACTTTGTTTCCACGAATGAAGAGGAACATGAAAGGACAGCTATTTGATGAAGTAGAAGAGGTGAAGAAAAAAAAGAGGGAGGTGCCATCAGCCATCCAAACAGATGCATTTGAAAATGTTTCCAACAATGGAATCACAGACTTAGCAAATGTATTAAGTGTAATGGAGAGTGCTTTGAAGGTGATAAGGTTGTTTTAACAAAAAAATTAAATTTAAATATATAGCTTTCCGGGGGAAAATATTTAGGGCTTTTTTTGGTACCCCTTGTATATTATTTATTACTGTCTATGTTTTGAGAAATATACTTCAAAGCCATTTTATATGGATGCATGAACTTAATGTATATATTCAGTATGTTATTAACTTTTTGTTTATTTTTAATAACACTGATAGTTTTACATCTTCCCTTTTTAAAAAATTGAATAGTTTCTACTATGGAGGTCTTTACATGTTACATATATTAGTGCATATGACTTTCTTAGAGTCATATCTAAAATTTGCATCATATCCCATAGAGGAAGGTTCCATTCTCATTTTCTTCAACATTGTTTCTATTGAAGGACTCATTTATTTCTCAGATTTTATTATGACATTTTGCATGGGACACAATTTAAAAAAATCATTTTTGGGGGGGGCTCATATAACTCTTATCACAATCCATACATACATCAATTGTGTAAAGCACTTTTTAAAAAAATCATTTTATTAGGGGCTCATACAACTCATCACAATCCATACATAAATCCATTGTGTAAACCACATTTGTACATTCATTGCCCTCATCATTCTCAAAACATTTGCTTTCCACTTAAGCCCTTGGCATCTGCTCTTCATTTTCCCCCCTTCCCTCTCCTCCCTCATGAACCCTTTTCCCCTCCCTCATGAACCCTTGATCATTTATAAATTATTATTTTGTCATATCTTACATTTTCCGATGTCTCCCTTCACCCACTTTTCTGTTTGTCCCCCAGGGAGGAGATTATAGGTAGATCCCTGTAATCGGTTCCCCATTTCTACCCTACCCTCCCTCCACCCTCCTGGTATCGCCACTCTTAGCACTAGTCCTGA